ATGAAGCTGGAATTACTGTACGTAACTGACTGAACTTTACGTCCTACAACTCTCCTAGCAAAGGGTCAGAAGTGTGACTCCTGACCACCAGAGCCCTTTGGAGGGAGGTAATATGTTCTGCTGCTGCATTGCTGTCCAGAAGCTCACTCCAGCATCTCTGCTGCCTGGCTAAATGACACCCCTTGAGGTTCGTGTTCCTCTATTGTTAAAATGAGATTGCTGCAATTTTCTGAGCAGTAATCTTAGAGAGTCTCTGTACTCCTTATTTCAAAAACAGAAACGCACACTGCCTCTCGCCATAGCGAATTACTTGACAACATCAGATCAGAACAGATTAAATTACTTCATCAAAATTCATTAATCGTGCTGGTAAGAATCCAAAAGAGTCGAGCGTTGGCTCAGAATTAACCATGATGCCACCTTTCTTACGGGGAAGCCAGAATATGTATCACCGAAGGAGCTCCACCACCCATGATTCAAGAGTCCTCACATCTCCTCAATTTTCTTAAAGTATTAAGATCAGAACAAACAAACTGGAATGTTTAACTGGTTTAGTCATCCTCCTGAGCTGAAGCAATAAAACAGCAAATAATTCACATAAAGCAACAAGCAAAAACAACATAAACTCTGCAGGCCTCGACAGTCTCACTGGCTTGCCACAAGCGTCTTGTGCGGGGCTGGGGGGGGTCGCTTATTTGAAATACCCCTCTAGGCTCACAGGAATGCATTGCTTGTGCGCTGTGCTGTCTGGAAACTAGCCCTCTCCTGGTTACCCCTGACCTCTCCCAGTCTCAGTCCACTGTGGGACCAAACATTTCAGAAGATGTTCACTGTGCAAATTCAGCTTGTGAAAAAGCTCCATTTCAGTGCCCAGCTCTTCAGGAATCTATTTTGCAAGGCATGTGTGAAATTTCTCCACCCAAAATGCTTAGCAAGGCTATTTGGAGGGTGCTTGATAATGTGGCAAGCAGGTAACAGGTTTAATTTTAATGCTGCTTTTAAAAAGTTTTGTTTATATTAGTAAGCATATAAGTATAACCAGCAATATTACTACTATGCTTTTAAGCAGACACATGACCTGGTGTGATTTGGTACCATTCTGTTATGAGCCAGTTCTTACATATTCTCTCCCATGAATAAGTAAAGGAGGTGTTTAAAAAAGAGAGTTTGGACTAAATTCCAAGCGAAGCCATATACACGCAGCAGAAAGTTGTTCCCAACTGGGTGAGTTCCCAACAATTATTCTGAAGGTCCTGAGTTTTGCAGGTTTAAAATAGATTTTAAAATAGTGCTTCGTTGCCACCCAAATACACCAAATGAGGGGACTAAAAATCCAATTCGTTATTTCAAAAAAGGCAATTTAGCATAAAATTATTTTTTGAACTGCGTACTGCAAGGGTAGCAGCCTGTCAGTCATTCTTAACCGTGATCTTTAACTGTGATGCCATTTTCATGGGTTGCATTTCCTAATGGCTACAACAGGAACTGTACACCAATCCAAATTAGTTTTCACTTTAATTCGGATTTATCATCCTTTCAATAATTTTTCAGGAATCACCAGTGTTTAGGCCTAAAGGTAGTTCATTCATAATTGCCATAATTTGGGCCATGAATTACTACTTAAAGACATGTATTGTTTGATTTTCCAACTGGTTATCAACACTGACTTTCAGAAATTTATGTTCCACTTAATTAAAGAGCTTTGATGGAACTGAACCAGCATGCCTGAGAACCAGTGGTCTATAAACAGGAATTCAGTCCAGTGGTTTATAAACAGGAATTCAGTCCAGTGGTTTATAAACAGGAATTCAGTCCAGTGGTCTATAAACAGGAATTCAGTCCAGTGGTCTCTCCATAAACGTTCTGCTACCATTGTACTTTTCTGGGATTGGTGGAATTTTTTTGGATGGATTGTGGCTCAGTGGATTAGGTATCTATACTTGTCCCTAGAAGGTCATTGGATCAAATCCTATGGCCGATAAAGCGATCATATCTCTGTTGGGCCTTAACTTAACCCTGAAAACTGCTCCAGGGATGCCTGATAAATGTCTGACTCTGAGCTTTGTCCTGAAGCCTCACTATCACCCATGTTTGTGTACTCTAATGCACCTGTACTTGTATAAATGGTGATCAGAAAGTATCTTTTCTTAATTCCCTCCTTCACTCTTTGGATTCACGTATTGTAGTGATGTTCTGACACCACTACATACCTTCCTTATACATTTGGTTTGCTTTCTACTTTTGCCTTTCCTCTTTATCATGTGACCCAACCCTTCGAGGTTAAAGTAACGAGCAGACTGCACGTGCCACAAAGAAAACAGTCAGGATATTTTAATGACCATCCACCACTGCTTTGAAGAACATCTGATGGGCAGCACGCAAACTTCAAGTGAAGCTTGTTAATAAAGCTCCATCTAATTAAAGCTTCTAAACGTGGCTGACTGTGTTTCAACCTACCTAGCACTGGGTCTTAGGGAGGGGGTATACTGAGGGGGGGGGGAATTAACAGTCACAAAATTTGTATGGCATAGACGATGGGATCTGAAACACGCAATCGATGAAATTACACAATACGCCCAAAGAGAGAGAAAAGAAAAAACTTCTGTGACTGTCTTTCATCGCACTGGCTCTTTGAATCATTCATGCCACCAGTTGCAACCAAAACAATTTTCGAGACACAGCACAGACAACTGCCCTGGAGTGACCTTGCAAAGACAAACTCCGTCCACAGGGAAATGGCAAATGGGCACAGATAATGGATTTCACATCTTCACTCCAGGAATTAAAAATCTACTCCTATAAAAATCACACCCGGATCTAGAGCTTGCTTTACCATTTTCTGAATTCTTCGTCTGTTTGATGCCTCCCAGCCAAGTCACGTTACAGTCCTTTGCTTTTAATTTTAGAGCACAGTGACAGCTTAACTAAATCGGTGAAGTTATTTCTGTGAGTTCTGAAAACGGAAAGTATTAAAAGTACCTCTGGTTTTGTGGCAGGTGACTCAGTGAGTAGCACCCTAGCCTCACAACCAGAGGGTGGCAGGTTTGAATCCCGCCTCTGCTCTGCATGTATGGGGTTCACATCCTCTCACGATACGACGTCCAGCTCGGCTAAAAGGCATCCCTATAGTGCCTGTACTATTTGTGTATGTACCCTGTGGTAGACTGGCATCGCATTCAGAGTGTGCCTTGGCCCATGCCCTATAGTGCCTGGGATAGGTACCACCCCCCCACCCCACCCTGGTGTGTGTGTGTGGGTCATGGAAGTTTAATATTATAAAAGTCTCTGCCTGCAATCAAAAAAACTAAAACAAGTCCTGTGTGTTGTTGGGTTACTTATGGTTAAGTTTAGGGCTGGGTGGGGCTTAAGGTTGTCATTGTCGGGATTAGAGTTGGTCCCTACATGGATGGATGGTCCCTACAAAGGGATGAATACAAACGTGTGTGTGAAAGAGAGAGAGAGAGAGAGAGAGAGAGAGAGAGAAAATATAAGCATTCTCAGACTGGGAGTCACTGTACTATTGATGCACTGAAGCTGCAGCCACTAACTGAGATAACTGTGTACAGTTCATTTTGAACAAAGAGAGAAGACTTACACGCTAAAAAAAATTGACAATATAAAAAAATTAGATGATTATTAAACAGTTCATGATTCTAGGTCTAAAGAATCCTGTAAGAAAGTATCTAACCAACAAATTATTAATGAGCCCATATGAGCATGCAGAGTCAGGAAGCCTTGCGGGCAACTTTGTTCACTGGAAAATGAAAACATTTCCCAGAAGTGTCATGCGGCCATGAGGATCACAGGCCACGCTGAGCTCCGGCAAATTTACGGCCACCGCGGCGCGACGATGCTCCTTTTCTTCACCCGTGTGATCTCCGTGACAACGCTGACCTACATAAGGCAGAACTCAAGCACTGGATGAAACCCATTAACTGCGGCCCTCACCTTGGTTAACAGCCTACACTGCATCGGGCTTGATGTGACGCCCCAAGGGGTGTCACTTCAAGCAGGTGTCCGTGTCCCACGCTCGCAGAGACCATATAGCATACCGTCACTTGAGAGCTTTAAGCATCGACACCCGAGAACATTCACTCTCCACCACATTGTGTGTGAAACATCTCACCCAAACACACTGGGAAAACTGGGATACCACCAGCCAGTTGTTCCCTCTCCTTTGTGGGCTTCCTGCCAAACTCCTTGGAGCACAGGGCTTGCGTAACTTGAGGCTCTCTCTCTCCTTCTCTCTCTCGCTCCCTCGCTCTCCACTGATTCCTACATCACAGCTCCGTTGTGTAACACACCCATGAAGTATGCATGCTAATAAGAATGATCAATGACACTAAAATATAAGCAGTGACTCATCACAAGTGGTTAGCATTAGAATTTCAGAAGCAGCATTTCAGGACTGCTCAGAGATTAAACTAAATTTAAATACAGCTGCAGCAGAAAATGGTGGACAAATGGTGAATTGTTTTTTTTTTTTTTATTGAGGAGGCATTGATTGGATCTGCAACCTCAGTAACTGCTACCTTTCTTGGGAATTACATTTTTAACCTGTTTTTACTAAAGTACACAGGAGAATCCTGCATGTGGAAACAATCACTAAATGCATTTGACTAGCTTAGTATCTCCATTCCAACCTGAGCATATCAGTCACCCCAAATTTTCCAAAACTACCAGAACATTTTGTATAGTTACTTCAAGCTGTGATACAAGTACTGGGGAAAATAACAATGAATTGTGCGATTTGGAGGGTATCTGTCAGTTCATTCATTCATTCATTTATCTTTACAAGCCCAGTTCATGTTTTTCACATTCATTTTTATAATCTTTTCATTGTAGAAACAATGCAATACCTACAAATTCAGTTCGTTCAAGTTCTGTCTTTCGCTCTAAGTCATCTTGGGTCATTCTTTATATATACACAATGAACATAATACACCCATGACTTTACATTACGTGCTAAGTGGCAGGACAGCCAACACAGATGATCTTACCTTATAATGACGAGAAGATGGATTCACAAAAATGCTGGTTTATCCTTGGTCCTGAAACACAGAGGACACATTCTGAAAGTCCATCAGCTGATCAGCCTGGAAATTAATGCCGTCCTTTTCTACACCCTTGCGACCGACATGGAGCTTCCATTGTTTCCTGAAACCAGGCCATTTCTTTGCCTTTCAGCACTGCACAAAAATGAGTAAAAAGGCAGCTGACCAAAAACCACATCCTCACAGGAAAAAAAGATTACTGACAATTAGAAGAATACGTTTATGGGAATAATGTCCTGTCTATGAAGTTGAACAAGTCATAGGTGTCTTCAGAAATTAACATAAATGTGAGGTAATTAAGACTTTTTGCTGAAGATGGAGGGGGTTCCAGTACAGGAGAAATCACTGTATTGCTTTTTTGGGGGGTACACTGGACATTGTGTGGCCAGTGAGTATCCTGTTCAGCATGACAGATGGAGACTGGGCATTCCAGATGCACCAGAACATCTGCTCCGCAAACTGCCTCAAAGTAAGAGCTGCGGATCTCGTCTTCTTCTGGATCCCAGCCCTCCCTTGGGGTATGTGCTGAGGTTGACGGATGTTTCGTGAAGGTCGGCGTGCCACAGATTGCAGAGTCCCCCCTCCCCCACCCTGTCTTTCAACTGCTCTGCTTGGCTCGCAGTGACCCCCTGAAATGGCAGCCTGAACCCAAAATATATGTGCCTCCACATAAACGGAGGCACCTCCCCAACCTAACCACACAGGCCAGGCCTAGCTTTTGTTAAATCCTGGGTATTTGGCTTCAGCTGAAATGAAGTCCCTCAGAAATCACTCTGGGAAGTCTATTCACACCCATTAAGATGGGGTCCTGCAAGATTAGTCAGCTGTACAATGTTGTACATTCATTCATGCCCAGTTTGAGCACTCTGAATCAGCTCCCACTCCACTGGTCTAAAAAGCCATTACCCAGGTGACTCATTCCATATCCAACATATAACTATTTTGTTGTTTATTTTTTGGACCGTTACCAATATACAATGACTTGAATGAGAATGAAAATGAAAATGTTGCAGATCTTTTAGCAGTAATTTGAGGTCATAAAACTAGTTTACAAGTGTCTTATTGACACTTGTTATATTTGTTGAACAAAAGTACCACCATCTAGAAGACATTTCCTCTTGTCAATAGAAAACAAGAAGCTCTGTAAACATCATTTGAGCCTTTGAGAAATCAGTACTACTACAAGCTGCATTCTTGCACCAGAAAGCAGTTACTACAGCAACAGTACCAGCAAAGTCTGCCCGATGATCGCAGCACTCAATGGGAACTTGGCTTCAAGGTTCAGACAGTGGAAACTGTCAAAGATCCTACTTACAATGAACCTCAAACATATCACTGGAGATTCCTGTGCAAGAATAGAGTAACAAAGGGTCTCAGAATGCAAATGCAGACATAGCACCTTAGTTAACATATGGACCCCTGTCACGGTCATTGAAAAGTACAGGAGGTACCAGCAGAAACTGCGTTCAGCACCCTGAATTCCGCCTGAAACTGCCAAGCAGATCCTCGCTATATGGATTTGTGCTCTGCATAGCTTCAGCGCGCTTCTTCCTCACCGATATGTGCTTGTACCCATGACAAAACCTCCACCATCACAGCAGGAGCACTTCTGCCTCAGCTCGAAGTTACCAGCTGATCTGCTGCCCTCTGAAATGAGTCTTGGCAATTCTCCATTCACTCGCTCCTGTACACCGCTCACCTGTGTCAAAATAAATCTAACTGGCATCAGGATGGGAACAGGATGGTGGTGCACCTTTCAGATTAAAATAAAAATAAAAATAAAAATCATGAATGGTTGTTACTGTCAATTAGTAAAATTTTAATTGATAAAGTGTTTCTAAATGCTGCTGCTCATGCTCCATAATCTACTTGTAAGGTGAAAGATTCCAACAGATTCCCAAAGGTTTCCATATGGAAGAGTAACCTTACCACACAGAGACCGTTATAAGCTAATGTCTTTGTACCAGCAAGGTAATTAAAAACGCAGCATTTTGATTTGAGAGACAGCCACTTGCCACAAGGCAATAAAGTGTGCAACCTTCTTAAAGTTGAATATCCCGATCTGGGGCGCTTTCAGCTATATGACGGGAGCATTACCTTTTTCAAAGAAAGGGTGACTGCTGGCAGACGGCCCAAACCCAAAACCAAAAATAGCTGTAGCGTGTTTCAGTGATGAAAATCTGTCTTCCTGTCAAAGCGAATGGTAATGCACTGCTACAAAGAATGGTTATTGTGTTTACTACTGCGCATATGGTGACATGGTGCTAAAATTGGGAATGTGCTGAAAGGACAGGCGTTTTGACCTTAATTAGTCACCCAAAGTCAGACAGTGAAACCAGCCAAAACAGTCCCATCTCTACTGCAGACCCACCAACTGAGGTTTCGAACTCTAAATGAATCTCTTACCTCCTAATTAATGTAGCGATGATGCTAATTTCATTACCCGCTATCAAGGTGTCCCTGAAATAAACAGATCCTGTTTCATAAGCCTGCAAGCAGCAAAGTGACCAAGGACATGGACTCAACCCCAGAAGGGTTGGGTACAAGCCCCAAGAGAAAGCCAGTTGAAACGCCCTTCAGCAAGCTGATTAAATTCAGTAAAAATGCCCACACTATAAATAAAGCAATGTTGAAATAATGCAACAGTTAAATGTAGATGAAGTTTTCTTGACCAGGTTTGACACGGATACTCAACACAGCAGGTTCGTGGAGGCATGCCTGCACGTTTCTTTAGCGATGCCAACATCATGGATATTCATTCGTTTTCAAACATTTTCAAAATCATAGTTTGAAAGATTACATGAGCAGCTATCAACCTGATTGTCACACCGTGGGGCAATTCATGTAATTAAAAAATTAGGCCTACATTTCAATCAAAAGTTACAAGCTACAATTGACCCATTAAATAATTACAATAGTCTTCCCCCCATTTTCTGCATTAAATTAATTATACCCTAAGGAGCAGACCTGTTCTGAAGAAAAGCTCTGTTAACTTAGTAATGTCCCTCCAATAAAACATTAACTATTGTATTTTAAAGTTTTACTAAATAGAGTCCATTCACTCATTTGCTAACTGGGGGCCTGATCATTAAACAGAGGTTAATTGTGCTTACGTTTTTAATTATTTCCCTAATTTATTTTAAATGATTGAGCAAAGTGATGGTGCACCGGTCAGCTTCATTACTATAACCTGACAGATAATCGGTCACCTTGGAGGAGATGTCGTCCTTAAGTCTACAGTGCATAGAAAATGCACAACACTGGCTTCTAAGCCAAGCTGAACCTGCCACAACAAAAATGTCACCCCCACCATAAGTTCTGCTTGTTCCCATCCCTGCCATTTATCTCTTCTCGGCAAGCCAGCAGATCTTGAACATCACTGAGGATTTGGGTTTACCCTTTTGCTGAGTCACTCCTGTTGCACATATAACAAACAGGGAAAATAGGACTTCATCAAACACCAAGTCTTTACATTTGCCCCGTGTAGAAAGTCATCCGAAGCAGTCATCGCCAAAGAGAATGTGTCACATTACATAACCCAGGCAGAAAAGACAGATGCAGGGATGCCTATAAATGCTTGAATCTTCCTGTATGTATTTGGCATGCAAGCAATGACAGCCAGTTAGCTGCCGTTCCTGCCTGTTAAGCTCCGGAATCCATGCTGTAGAGTTACCCTCCATTCAGCAATGGATTGAAGGGAAACGACGGGAGAACGATCTTGAATAATGACCAGACCAACCCAAGAACAACTTTCCCAGTCACTGATTAGTTGTAGAATCTAAAGACTTTTAAGCAACACAATTGTAAGACTACATGGCGATAACATAAAAAATGTAATTTGACAATTCTTTGAAATTTCACTACAGTGTGATTAATGTTTCACCCTCTACCCAGTAACAACATGGCTATATATTTCCCCTTGAATAATTCTTGCATGCACTTAGTTTTCCCCATTTGTTCATGAGAAATGACTGCATCATCATTTTGAATTCATGCATTATGAATTTATACATGTACATATAAAACACATGTGTAGGTAACTGGTCCATAGAGTAACTTAAAATAAATACTCCTCAATGGAATCTTCTTGTCCGTAATTTACATCCCTACCTCATAATTTGTATCTTACAAACAGAGGTCGGGGTCATTTTATACTAATAAATAAATCAACCACAAAGGGTCCACATATCCCAGCTCCAAAATGCAAGTCCAGTGATGGACAGAGGGGGCAGCAGCGGTAACATATCCCAACTCGCTTGAAAAATGCCCTGGGAAATTGACTGCACTATGAACGTCACACCTTGAGTCCCATGGCTGGAAAAGCACCATGATCAGGTGTGAGAGCCAAGTATCCTTACCACAGTAAACATAAGTGGGGCAGGGTTTGAGCTGAGCTACCACCAATTACAACATGTTGTAGTTGTTATAACTATGTATGTGAGAAATAAAGAATCTTGAATCGTGAATCTTGAATCTTGAGTCTGAGTCTGGAGCTGAAAACACTCCTGACATAAGTTGCCATTATCTGCTTAATGACATTTAGCAGGTCACAAGGAGTTCTTCAAAGCCTTAGAAACTACACAGAGGTCACTTTGAGAATATATAGAGATACATTATTCCAGGAGAAGATATATGCGCGAGTTTTTATTTTTAGCTTATTTGCATCCTAATTGGATGGAAGACTGCGGATAAAAGATAAGGCCGCATCTTTGCGCGCTAAACTCGTTAGTAAGCAATGTCAAAGCAGTTCCTGCCGAATGTCAGAGTGGTTTTATGCAGACGCATGCTGCCTTGGGCAACTTTTCCCAGTTTCAGATTTTATATTGTCATTGATAGCTGAAGACCTTTAATTAATTAAAGTCAGATATATGCATGCAAATTTAAAAAGGAAAATCCCACTGAGCTCTATGACTCTGTGTGTGTGTCTGTGGGGGTGGGGAGTGTCATAGGATGTTTAAACGATTTTTTGCCGCGGTGTCGTGACGGTGGGGCTGAAGCCCCCAAAGGCGCGGTCTGACCCCGAGCACAGAGAGTTACCGCTGGCCGCCAACCATTAACGCCACCTGACTTATGTAATCCCAGCCCTGCCCCCGCACAGCTGCCTCTTCTCACGGAGGACTCCTTTTCGGGGCGTCATTACAGATTATTCCCCTTGCACCCGCGAGGTACCGGGTAGGGGCGCCTGCGAAAGCCGTCCCGGGGAATCGAGCCGGAGTTCAGACTACTTTAATCACTTTGCGTGGGTTTTATCGCCACTTCGCTGCCCCCCCTTTCTCCAACACCCCCTACCACAAAGACGCGACAGAAATATTTCGACGAGCCGAAGCGGGGCAGGTGTTCCCCTCCCTGCGGCGCGGTCCCGCAGCCCCCGGGGTCCGCCCCGGAGCGTACCTACAGCTAGCCGCCACGCCGGCCAGTCAGAGTGCGCGCACACGCCGCGCACCGCCCAACTACGCTGCGAAACAGACAAGTGGCCGGTTTTAATCCTAATGACAAACTCACTTTTTAGTGATACGGATGAGGCGACGCGGCGTGGCACTCGGCGGCTGAAGCCCGGACGGAGTGACGGCGTTTGGCCCACTTACCTCACGGAGACACTTCATGCTCCGGGTGAGAGCGGGATAAGCTGCGAGCTGCCGTAACCATGGAAATCCCTGTGCATTTCTGCGGAGTACGGAAAAAGAGTGATACATTTAAGTGAGTAACCCAGCGGCTCGCGGCAGGCTGGGCGCGAGCGCGTTAGTTTGAGCGGTTGCCATGGAAACTGTGATGCAGCGCCACGAGGGGAGCAATAGGATTTGGAGGAGGACTTTAAAAAAAGGAAAAAAACTGAGGGAACCTAGCACCTCCCCGGCTGCCAGGAAAACACCCACACACTCAGAATCTCTGTCGGGCGCTTAAGGACTCGGTGCAGCCTATATGCTGGGGGAAGCAATCACCGTTCCGCGGTAGTCAGGGGGGTACGGAGTCTGCTAATCAAAGTGTGATGACACAGGTGTCTGAGCTTCGTTTAAGTTAAAAACAAACACGCGTTGCGTTTCCTTGCAGCCTTTAGTTGGTTATTTCGTTCAAGGCAACTTTTTGCTTTCCTGCCTTGAGGGTGATGTGACGTAACAGACACCCATTTGATCAGCATGGTGGCACCGATGCGGCACTTTCTGTTTACTCACCGTGGCACCATTCCCACAGAAAATGTATGGATCTCCTACCGGAAATGCGTTGCTTATTGTGGGAGGGGGGTGACACCTTTTGCAAAGCCAGTGGTAGCTTTCATCATGCCCACAGCACGCACTCTCAATCCCATAGGAGCACTTCTGAAAGTGTGTGGACACACCTCTCTGCCACAAAGCCACCAAACATCAGATAGATTTCATGTCTGTAGAGGAGGAGCCCCGACGTGCTAGAGGGGCCCCTGGGGCTTCCTACACGGCCTTAGATAAGAGATAAGAGCAGTGTTTGTGTAGAGAAGTCAGGAACATGTCCTGTCCTGGATTACACTTCCACCACTCTGCCTATCGCCAAACACTTACATTTAAACAGGCACCGGACTGGACCCCTAAAGTGGCAGAAGAATCGTGGGACTGTCCCAGAAGTGAATGTGTATCTGAAACCCTGATGTGACCATCAGCAGAGCCTCAGACAGAAGCTTTGATCTGCCTGCCCCTCACCCACTTTATCAGTAGCGGCCGGTGGGGGGGGGCGTCACTAACTACCCTGTTTCCCTCGGCCTGTGTGGCAATGCATGCTTTGATCTCTCAGCACCCAGACCAATTTCACACACATTTTGGAAGCAGAAATGCAGTTTCAAGTGGAGACAGTCATTATGGGATCCATCCCTGCCCAGCTTATACCATAGACAGACTCACCATTAATAAGTTGCTTGTTAACAAAGGTTAGTTAATGTTTGCTAGGCACTGCAATTGCTAGTTAATGTGTTAACGTACTCATGACACACTGTGATATTAATCATTGTAACAGGGAGTACTCATGCAGAAATGGTTTAATTCACTATTTTAAGCCTACAAAAATCAGAAACATGCCCAAAGTGCTTAACAAGATAACATTTTAGTAAGGATGTAAGTGAAACTACCACAAGTATTACAGAATACCACAGAGAAGCATCAAAAGAAGCACAGAAAGAAATATCTTTTTCATATTCAGGATGAGTACAGGAGGGAATCCCCATAATTGTCCTGCATGGACCAGATTGTTCATATAAGTATCTGGATTAACAGCAGACACTAAGCCAGAAGTTTCCGGAAGGGTGTCCTCCCTTTGGATCACTGCCACCAACGTAGACTGGCAGTGATAATCTCTCAGAAAAGTAAACGTTTAATGACACAAAATGCGGTTGAGCTATGAAGCTACACTAATTACTTTAAGCTGACCGTGAGCCAGAAACCTCTAGGAAGTCACGTGTGCGCGCGCACACACACACGTACAGACAAGCAGCATTTCCAAAACAGCCCTCAAGTAGATCCAACCTATGAGATTTTCTCACGAGTAGAGTGAGCGTGAATTGGACTAACATATCAACATATCTCTGGCAAGAGACATAGCACCTGTAATGTCATGGCCCAAGGTCATACTCAATTAGGACCACAGAAACATAGTCATTCAATCTGCAGGCCTGTCAGGCAGAAGGTCTACCATCAATTCATTAAAGATTAGTTCTTCCCAGAAAAGGGGAAAAGAAATTAAAGCTTTTAACGTTGTGAATGGAAGACATTTATTGTTAATGAGGCATTTTGCATAAGTTCAGAATATTTTTGGGCGGAGTTGAATGTTCTTGCGAGGGATGCGTAGTCTGATTTGTTATTTCAATCAGGGAAAAATAAAAATGGCAACAGCCACTGACACAAGGTGAATGAGGTGAATGTGCACACCGTACCATTCTAAACAAATTAATTAAAAACAGCCCCCTGTTCCGAGCCCCATTGTCAGAAACAAGTGCAAGGAGCTATATATAAAACAGCGGTTGCATTGTTTTCACATGTAACATTGTCTTTTGTGCTGCCCTTGATCAATAAATCCAATATAAACCCAGTATTGTGGATGATCAGCCCAGGTTTAGTCTGACTTAGTCTGGAAAACATGCTGACCTGGATGATTGTGTAATGACTGTATTGGAATAGACCATCGTGAACATTGGAAGGTGTAGCTAATCCTGGAGATGCCTGCATGAGCCACATCCATGACCATAGTGGGATAAAGATATAATCAGTCTAATCAGCATAGTGCTGCTATTGCATCAGGTGGATCACTGGCTATTGACAATTCAGTGGATCACTGGCTATTGACAATCCAGTGGATCACTGGATATGACAATATTTCCCCTATTATTATTTAATATTAAATTATTAAAAAAGCAATAATGTCTTACTGCCAGCCACCTATAAAATGTCACATTATAGAAAAAAAGGTACTTTTGCCAAAGTTTGAAAGCTGTGTCATGGAGGTTATTGAGGTACATAGATGTGATGAAGGTAAACCTACGTAGGACTGCATGACAAGCAGTGATGTTTATGAAGCCTGTGCTTCCTGTAGGGGGCAGTACACACACCAAGCAGCCCCGACAGCAGAGAGATCTAATCAATCCAAGCATGCTGGATATGTGCGAAAAAAAGTCGCCGATACAGAATCCAGCAGCTGAAAACTTCAACCTGGAGGTGCAATTAAATAGAGCCATGGCAGTTCTGACTATGGATGCCAGGTTTTCTGCAGTCAGACACTCAAACTGGGATTTGTTCTCGATCCCCTGGGAGGCCAGCAGCGGTAGGGGGGGGGGGGTGGATATACATCTCTTTTCAGGTTGCCACCAGCTTTTCCTCACACGACGACACTGCTGTTGCTAGGAGGACTTCGCACAAAGATCTCATTTATCCGTTTAATGGCATTCACTCAAGTCACGCTATTTGCATAGCGTCCACTTGAAGGAATGTTTACCCTTGCCTGACATTTGGAAGGGAGCCACAGAGTCCACAAGATTCTGAGAGGAACAAGCATGGGGGGGGGAGGAAATGGAAAATAAATCAATACGCCTTGTTTCTCAGCTTATGCTGGGCTTAAGAGGACAGGTGTATAGGTTACTGCCAATCAGTAACACTGGCCAGGATTTATCTGACGGAAGGCGGGAGGGGTTGGGGGAGGGTCACTCCTTGCCTTCTGCATATATAACCTGGGGCCTGAAGCCAAAGAAAAAGCACAAAAACGTCCTAGGTGAAACATTTAGGGTACTTTAAAATGAGGCCTGCTAGAAGGGTGGAATGCAGGCCTGCTAGGAGGCTGGAATGTAGGCCGGCTAGGAGGGTGGAATGCAGCTTAATGTATATCGGCTTAAATTTAGCATCCTGCCATAGGTAGCTTTGCAGTAAACAACCAAATAGTAATTTTTAACTGTTTTTTTTAAACAGCTGAACAGGAGAAACGAGCATCTGGCCTGCAGCCAGAAATTAATTTCATTGGGTTGTCCAGCAGCCCTACTGAGAGATCCGCTTGGTAGATTTTGCCAGATGGGCGGAGGGGTTTCAAACCTGTAACTTTGCTACCTGTCTACGTGCCTGGTCTATAGCAGCAAAGGCAAAACTATAACTAAACAGCATAGCAGTCAACAATATAGTGCAGAAACAAGTCAGCCATGTAGAGGTGTGTCAGTAGCTACGTTTAAAAACAGGATGTGACATCATAGCTTTTATTCCCAATAAGTTATCTAAAGAACAAGGGCCATTTTTTTTATTATCACATATTTGCGATATTGTATGGAGCTAAATGGGAGCCTACAGTGAATAATTCCTACTAGTATGTGTCCAGATGGCTGGCAAAAAATACACATTAGTCTAGTCCAAAGGCTCTGGAAAGGCTATGGTAAATCTGACTTTATGTGCCATTTTAATATGAAACCTACTTAATACTTAATCATCAGATTATTTGACTGAAAGTCAATCTTTAAAAATTATCTTTAAAAATATGTTAATGCTATTTGGAGATGGAGGATTAGAGATTGTAGGTTAACGTTATTTGGAGATTAAGAGACTGTGTAACCCAAGCTTTACAAGTTTAAGAATTTTAATTGGGTGCGTTACATCTTCTTGTCCATAATGTGTGACTAAATATGTGCCCTACAACAAAATGACACCTCTTAGGTATCCCCTGTGCTGCCAAGTTCAGGCTCGAGGTTCCCTGTAATCCTGCACTGGGACAAGCAGTTATGCAAAATGGATGAATGAATATTTGCCTCAAATTTCTATAGAAGAGCCTTTCCGAAATGACAGATTAACACGTCTAAAAATGAGGCAAACAAAACCAAACCACAGTCTATATAAGATTAACACGTCAGAGCCAACTAGGCAACGCCTCCAGACGAAGGCAGGAATCAGTTCACAGAGTGAGACTGCAGTTTTATTGGCAGGAAATGATTTGTCTGATGTGATGTAATCTCTAATCACCATTTATACCCGAAAGGATCAGCTCTGCAAAGCTACACTTTGAGAATATCACCTAATGTAATCTTGCCTCTTATAATTGTACAAATGTTTTGTACATCTTTCACTTACCTAATGTAGCTCACTGATAAACATTTACAGGATGTGTCCAGTAGGTGGTAAAGTGGTTAAGAATGGAAACTTATAACCAAGGGAGCGTCTCAAGCCCCAGCTTGAACCAGATTACTCTAGAGACACATATAACTATATTTAAAGATATCTGAAGATGAAAGTTTAAGAAAAAGTG